ATCTTATCAACTTAGCTGAAATAGAAAAATTCATACATGTTTGCAAAAATCAATTTGCAACAATCAGCAAATCGATTTCACGCAAATATCATATTTTAGGCAAGCAAATGTACAAAAGCCCGCTCCTTTCCCCGTTTCACGCTTTTTACTCTACACTTCTCGTTCTGACTTCCATTTTTATTTTAGAGTTTGTTTTGATCCGACACAAGCACGCGCTTGCCTCCGCAAGCACCCCCTCTGCCCAGTGCTTATTACATTTTTGTTCCTCTTTCCATTTTGTTCTTATTTTTTCATTTTGCTTTGAACTAAAGTAATTTGCTCAAAGTGTGGTGGCACGGAAAAATTTTTGGTATGGTGGCAGCCGACACTTCTCTACCGACACCGTCGGTCGAGCGGTGCACTCGTCGACGAGTGGTATATTTGGCCGACTGCACCCCCAAATTTTTGCGCAACAAAAACGGTCCACTGGAAATGCGCCTTCTCATTTATAAACGTTCTCTGATTAGGGTAGCCCAAAAATGCATGTAAAAAAGTAAGGTTGGAATTTTTATGCTCTCACCCCCTAGGATTGTCCAATGCCGAAAAAAATATACTCTTATTTTTTTATTTTGAAATCAAAAAATATTTAGAGGTCGCTCAAAGCGCCCAAAATTTTCCATGTATTTTATATGGGGGAAAAAAACTTTTCGTAGAAATTGTATAGAATGGTTAAAAATCAATATTTTTCTACCAGAAAACTCTGTTTATCTGCAGGAGATTCCCAATAATATTACCCAATAGTTCATTTAACCATTTGTTCATCACTGTAATTTATAGGTCCGCCAAAAACCCACAAAAACCCCGGAAAATGCAATGGGGCGCCCAATTAAAAATCGTTAGTATTAAAAAATGATTAAATAAAGAATTCGGTATTATTATTGAAAGTCTCCTGAAGAGAACCAGAGTTTTCCGATCGAAAAATATTGATTTTCCAGAATTCTGTACCATTTCTACGAAAAATTTTATTTTTCCCATATAAAAATACATGGAAAACTTTGAGCTACCTCTAAATAGTTTTTTTTTTATTTCAATATAAAAAAATAGGTGTATTCTTTATTCGATATAGAACAATCCTAGGGAGTGAGAGCATTACAATTCCGCCTTTACTGTTTTTGGATCACCCAAATGTACATACACATATTCTATTTAAGTAAAATTTTTTTTAAGTTTTATTTCTAAGTTAGTATCGCCGTTAGTTGAATCAAATCTACTTTTGCTGGGAAGAACTAAGGTGTTAAAATTTGCTCTGGACTGTACCACCACTTCAAAGCCAACAATATTGGTATTGTCAAAAGACCAACGACCTTTTGTGTATGTTACAAGAAACTAGATTATCTTGCTCCAGTTTACCGCTAACCCAACATAAAAGGTGTCAGGACTTTAGACATTTTGTCTGCCTTTGAAATTGAAGGGATTACGATTGATCGGAGCTCGATTTATTAACGTGAATAAGCGGCAAAAATTTAATCAGTTGATCTGGCGCTACTCTGCAAATGTAATCTATGGAGTCCTTTTTATTACAATCACTGTAAAAGTCTATATTAGTCAGCTTTGCCATACATTAAACCACTCCTACTGTTGCGCTTCCCCTATCAGGCTAAGAATGAATGGCCTCTTCTTTCATCGGGCCTGTAAGTACCCGGGAATTATGGGAAACTTCGATTTCATACCTGAATAAACGAACCGGTGTGCACTGTGGCTGGAGTTTTTTTTTTTTGTAAGCCCCCCTCTCAGGTGTGCATGGTAGAGTTGGATCACGGATTTGGAAGAGGTGTTTTTCTTTAAAAAACTCTCTGTAAATCTGAAGTTTAGGACGCCGAATTACAGCAACACTTTTCAGAGATTAGCGTCCCACGACATCCGGTTCTACGTACGGGAATGATTTTACCTCACCAAGGGCTGTTGTTTTGGCGATCTAACCCCGTTTAGGTCGGCGAAATCCCTCAAAAGTTGTACGTCCATAGGGCTACAGCTTCTCAGCGTTTAGCGTCGAGGTCAGAAAGCAAATATCTATTCTATATATCTACAGCTAAGTGGCAATTATGGCTCTACTATTGCTCGTTACTGGTCTCTCACGTTAGCCTGAGGTTTACTGTGCTGGGTTCAGGTGACATTTCAGGAACCAGCATGGCTGTTGTGGCAGCCTCTCGCTTGCTCCTAGACAGACGGGCTTATAGTCTTCGTGAGCTGGACAAATTTGCATAGTACCTGTGGCGGTAGTCGACAGAGAATCTTGCAGATGGTTAATGCCAACTCTCGCTTCTGATAGAAGTCCCTATTGAGCAATCCCCATTTGAAAAAGATGTAGTACGACGTAATATCGTTTCGAATTCCCTTTGCCGAAGTTGTTTGGATGTTGACGCATTTTCTACTTTGAAAAAAAATGTCTTGAAATACCAACCATTAGACTCCTTAATATTGAAAATGTATTAAAGGTATTTGAAAAAGAGATTACTTATCCATCTCGCGCGTTTTCTTCCATGCGCTGATATGTGGCATCCCTACAATAATTAAAAATTCTCAACCTGTTGCTTCAAAAGCGTTAAGCGTGTAATTTTATAATCCTTAATTAAAATTTTTTAGAAGTATTTTATTTATTTATTTATTTATTGATGTATACATTTATTCATGGATACATAAAAAACATTTGTATGTACATAAGCTTCGTGGGAATGAGACAGATATATAGTAGGAATATATACACTGTTATTTCTTTATAACTTAAATCTAAGTTGGCAGCAATATTTTACAATATCAAAATAAAAAACAATAACGTAAAACATAAAAAAAACCCCTTCACGGCAAGTGTGTGACAAATTAAATAACCCAATGCATTCTTAGTCTAACAATCGTCATCGCCATCAGCCTCGTCATCAGTAGGCCTTGTCGTTGTTCACTTGAAGGGTAAACCATTACTTGGTTCTTCGAATGGGCCATGACCGAAGTGCAGTGGATCGCGTTGAATTTCCGAACGTGTACGCGCTGCCCTTTGATCGGCCAAATGCTGCTGAGCGGTTACAAAGTTCAACGAACCCGAGCCCAAAGTGACAGAACCATCAGGCAGACGCACAAAGCCGATACCGCCCGAACCCAGCGCAATTGAGCCACCACGTGCGCTATCGCCTTGCAACCCCAACCGCTGCTGTTCGCGCAAAATCGCATTGGCCGTAGAGTCCAATTGCATAGAGGAAGGTAGTGGCGCTATTGCGCCTGTGCCAGAGGCACCCACTTGTGCGCGATAATTGTTGACAAAGGCTTGCGAGAGGAACGGTTTGGTGTCCTGCGAGATGTCATTGTCGACGAACTCTACAACGGCGTACTGCTTCAGCTGTCGGCCATTAACCACATAGAAGCCACTATCCGGACCGGTGACATAGTTGAACACTGGCTGTTGACCGAATGGTACGCGCAACGGCTGGGGCTGGGGCTGCTGCTGCTGCTGCTGCTGCAAGGAGGCGGGTATAAAGAGTCCCGATGCGGATGGCGCTGAAGCGGTAGAGCGTGGATAATGGAAGCCGATGACTGGCGGTGAGCTGCCCGTAGGGCCGAAGGATGGCTGGCGTCCGGCTGCACCATTTGCCGTGGGGAAACCATTGCGCAGCTGAAAGCTGGGTTCGCGATAATTGCCGGCGAAAGTGTTAAACGGTCCGGGACGATAGGTTGGTGGTCGTTGTTGTGGTGCTGGTGCTTTTGTTGGTCTCGGCGCAGCCGGATGCACTTGAATGAGTGTTTGAACCTGTGGGCGTGCTGGTGGCGCAGTTGGTGGCAGTGGCTGTAGTTGAGGGCGACCGGTCGGCAGTTGTGGCAGTGCTGGTACTGGTGGTAAAGGCGCCGTCGTGGGAATCGGTGCGAAGTAATGGCCGCGGCTAGGTTGGGGTGCTGATGGCGCCGTTAGTAGTGCGGGTGGATCGTAATGGTAACCGTCGGCGTTGACGTGATTGAAAAGCAGTAACAGCATAGAGGTAGCGGCCAGACGGCGAATGGCTGATGTAGCGGTCGTCATCTGGTAGGATGAGAGAGAACAGAAAGAGAGAGAAATTATAATCAGTAAGGGTGAAAAAAAAATATTTATTCAAGTAATTTTTTTTATTATTTTAGCTTGGATTACTAGTAATCTTTAAATGCTGGACAAATAAGCCCGCAGTGATTTATAAGACGTTTAACAAGTTCGCTACTTAAGTCTTTTGTTTTACCCAAGCAATGCGCTCTTTTCTGGCCACAACAGCTTTGTCCTCCATTCTAAATGGATTGCAACGCTTACGCTTCAATAAACACAAATACATATTTCACAGTTGCAGCTGAACTAAAGTGCGTGACACTCCGCTATCGCCACCTAAACAACATTCCAACTTGGCGCACGAAGCCATACATACATATGGTGCTGATATGTTTTAAGGCAAAGCAAGTTTTTCTGTCAATTTAATTAATAAAATAAAGCATAATTGTGTACGCTAAGTGAATGATATACATATTTAAAAGCTGCAACATTCACGCCAAGTCAAATCACAAAAAAAAATGTCTTCGGCTTGATTAATGGGAGCATGAGTTGCTGAGCGGCGTTAATTATGTCTGACCAGCAGTTGTTCTAATCACGTGTTACGTGTATTTTGTTTTTTTTTTTTGTTTGTTGTTATGATGTCAACTTCAGTCATTGTCATTGAGATTTCAACAAATGGCTTTAATGCATTTCACGATTTGCCATTTCAAACTGTTGACAATGACAACGTTTGCAGCATTGGCTGAAAACATTCTTTCAAAGCTTTAATTAGAATGGAGAACAGCATCGATATTGAGTAATCATTACAATGGAATACTGCGACTTAGTGAGTGGTTTTAATATCGTTAATATTAAGCAGTCAGAGATTTTTAAGAAAGACGAGAAAACCATTTATATAAAGGTTTCATAACGGTTATAAATAATATGATTGAAAAAGTATAAATAAAAAATAACAAGTAATTTTTAGCAAAAAAAAAAACGGCTTAAAAGCCGACTGTAAAAGTGTAACAAGGTTTTATTTTTTTTTGGAAAGAGTTGCCACCTGTTAAAAATTTTAATTCAAATTAGTTGTCAAGTAAAATTAATTATTACATATTACCAATATTATATCTTAAGCTATAAGAAGGAGGGTTGTCACCTGTCTTAAAAAGGAAGAAAGGAAGGAAGGGGTTAGTTTAAAAATGCTTAGAAGAGGGTTGCCACCTACTTTAAAAGTCGAATCTTGTTAATTTATAGATAAGGAAGTCATATGAAATATTAAAATATGGGGGTCGAAACGAAATACGGCTACACTTTGAATATTTTTAAAGTACCGAAAAAGGGTTGCCACCGGTTTAAGAAGTAAAATCCAAATTATTTAATAAGTTAAATTAATTATTAAAAGGTTGGGTTTGAATCGAAATGGGATTGAAAGGCCATTGCTACTTAATTATATTTACGTGGGTTGCCACGTGCTAAAAAGTCTAACCCAACTTAATTCATTATTCAATGGAAATATGTGTCCCAATTGAAAATACTTTTGAAGAGGTCTGCCACCTGTTTGAAAAGTCGAGTTAAGTTAACTTTTACACAAGTTATATAAAATATTAATATAATTTTGATTAGGGTTGCCACCTATTCGAAAAGTCATATTTATCTGAATATATAAATACATACATATACAGCTATGGTCCAAGATTGAGCGCCAAAATTCATGATGAAATTGTTTGCAATTTATGCTTATTTAGTTATTTTTAATAATTTTCATTTAAAATAGAAATATTCAATCTATAACAGAAACCATATAAATGAAGGTTTAAAAGCTTGCACAAAATTCACAAAAATTAATCTGACTTCAAAAAAATTTCATCAAAATTACAAATTTTTTAAACAAATTTTCAAATTTTCTTTTTTTTGATTTTCGAGTATGCAGATTTTTAGTCTAACAAAGTCCAAGTTTCATTTGGCTAAAAATTACCGTTGATTTTTGAGATATTTTTTTGTCTATGGTGCTGCGCATTTGTTTCCATATAACGCATGAAAAAAAATTTATTTTTTATGAAAAAATAAACACCCTAGACAAAAAAATCTCAAAAATCTATTCCATTTCGACGTTTTAAAGCCATGCGGGTTCAGTAGTTGCTTTTAATGTCGCGGTCACCAGGCATCCATATGAGTTGAATTCTGTAATAGGCCTACAATTGCTCCGCGCTGCCTCTTAGATGGTCAAAATTTCCTCTTGATATACACTGCAGTGGACAAGTAGAAGAAAAGATTTCTTTATCCTCAGTTCAGTTGAAAAAACTTTTCCTCTGACTTTTCGTCAAGTTAAGAGTAATCAGTATAAAAGTATATGGCATTAGGCATTCGGTGAATTTTGCTATATCAATTTTGTCGTCTTTTAATATCTGTCAAAAATAAATTTTTCATCTATAATTAAGTGATTTGTGTTAGAATATAATATGCATTGTGCATTTCATGACAACCGGGCCACCTAAATATCTCAAAAACGCGAATTCCCAGTTCTAACAAACTTTGCACAGCTAATCTTTGACATGTGTACTTTTAATTGAAAAATTTTCAGAATTACTATTTCTTTGTTTTAAAATTGCGGACCGAAATATCTCCAAAATTTTGCATACAAATTTCCAACTATTTAATTAGAATAATTTCGAGTATACAGTTCTGTAGACCATTAAATTTTAGTACAACAAAGTGCCAGTTTGAAGTTGCTAAAAAATCGCGTTGATTTTTTTTTTAATATTTTTTTTTTTGCTGACATATGTATATGCACATTAATCTAAACAATCGTCGAAAACGATACCCAATTAGTGTAACTACACAAGACCATAATTCTAAATGTGTTTTGTTTTTTCCTTTCCTTCCTTACTTCCTGCTATATTTGGTAGCTTATTTGTCACCTTTGGCAATCGCTTTTGTCTGTATTTTCAACTAACAAAAAACATAAGAACAAAACTAAAACAAAAGCGGCGCGCAATCATTTGAACAAACGAACGATCGCTTGTCTGCCTTGACAGCCGCCAGCTCGACAATCCGCTGATTGTAACTCGAACGCTTACGATTTGTCTTTGTCGTTAATTTGCCATAATTATGGCGAGTGCTGGTGGTGCATTACGAGTACATAAATACATTTGTTTTTTTTCGACTGCAACTCAGACCAGGCAAACACGCTGCCTGCTAATCCGTTAGATAATGGTCTGGTTGGTGTCGGGCGGTGTCGGGCGGTGTCGGCGCAGGCGTAAAATTTTTTGATAAATGAAAACGCCATAAAGTGACGCCGCCTTTGCAGCTGCTGTGAAGTTGCGCTGCTACTGCGCTGGGCCACATTGCTAGTTATGCAACGAAGTGAGTTTATATGTATGTATTTATATTTTGGTAAGCTACGCGAAATTCTACTACAATTGCTGCAAATTAAAGTCAATTAAAACATTGATTGATTAAGCAGGTAGGCAAGCGTTCGTTTTGTAGCCGGTAATTCTCAAGCTGAAATTAATTTGTGTGTGTATGTATGTTGGTGTGTATTGTTTACATTTTGCATACGAAATTGCATCTGTTTGTTGTCTGTTATTTGCGCATTCATGCTGGGGCTATTACAACGAATTAGGCGATAATGCCGAGAGAGTGTTGGCGCAAATTGTCTGCTAAATGTCCGAGTAAGAAAACCACTCCGGTTAAGTGCCGGCCGGCTGGATTTGTTTGCTAACCCGTAGTTGACTATGAGAACACCTTCATAAATAGTTACATACAGTTATTTTGTTGTGGTTAATGGTAGGCGGACAACTCAACTTTGTCGTGCGCCAAGCCACTTGCAAGTGCAATTGTATTTTTTTTATTTGTTTTTTTTTTTTGTTCTTATTTTCAGCGTGATTATTGGCAGCTGGTTGGCAATGAATAGAAAAAATCGCTGTATTGCTGTTAATAAATATTTGAATTAATTTAATTACAACGACAGTATGTGGCCTGTTGCAGCAATGCATTCGTTCTAATTGACTATTTGATGTGTTCTATGGAAAAACAATTTTATTGGGTTAGATGTTTTGTATTAATTTATGAATAAAATTTATGAAGCGTGGTCAGGAATAATAGCACAACGTGATGCTGTTGGCTGAAAACAATGGATTTGTGTGAAGAAAACTAGTTTATTCGTAGATTATAATCAGGTAAATGCCATAAATAGAAGTTGTTGTGAATGGAGTATCTAATTGGGAAAGGTGATGTAAGTTCGAATACTTTCTGAGAATGCTTATTGTGAATATGGAACGTTATAAGTAGGTAAGGAATTTTAATTGGCTCACTCCATTTTTTTCTGCTATCGATACTTGCTGAAAATATTTAACGCCGAACCCGGTAGTGGCCGCAGTTTAAGAGGAAGTACTTGACTTCACCACGCATTTTTAATTGGCGTCCATTGGTGATTGGAAATGGAATGCAATGGTTAATGGAAGTCTTCAATACCAAAATTAGACAGGCATAGAAGTGTATCATGAATCCTCCTCGCTTCCTTAGGCAGCCTGAGAGGCGATACAAGAAGTTAGACTATGAGCAGCAACGAGTCGCTTGAGCTTCACTTTAATGCCTATTTTCCTTGTAGCTTATCTCCAGGAGAAGCCTCCTTTAGATGAAACGCACATTAGTGGAATTGTCCATTCTGATCTGCTCTATGATCGTCGTCTGACCTGGCCGATAAAACCGTTTAAGTTCTTAAAGTCTTCGAGACCTATTTAAGCAAATTGCGGGAGGGATCTGTATTTCCCCCAGAACACCAAGGGTCGTCAAAATGGTGTTTATTCTGAAGGTCGGGAAAATCTTTCATGTTTCACCTTAGGATTTCACGCCAATTGACCTGTTTTCGTTTCTGCTGAAGACTGTGAACTGAACTGAGACTAATTGAACTCGACATACATAAGAAACGACATTACTCGAGATCGTCTATCTAAAGCTTAACATATGTATAATAAGGGAAGGTCCATGAAGATAGCGCTACTTATAACTGTGCAGTGGATAAA